GAAGGTGGGAGCAGAACTAAAGAGAAAATGGGAGAAAGAGTGTGAAAAATTGCACAAATGGGATGTACAGAAAGGAAAAAAAGAACATAAACATATGCATATGGACCTAAATATCCAAAATGTAGCAGGGACAAAATCAAATTGCCATAAAAAAATTCAGAACTTTCCAATGCTCTCTGAGCAGCTATTTTTAATTTCTCAGGGTTGGAGTCTTCTGTCCACTAGATGGCAGTCTAATCACATGCCAGATTCTGAAATGGTGCCTGTTGAGAGCCTCGTTTCTTCTCCATTGCCTGGTCAGAGTGGTGCGGTCTAAATCCAATGTCTCATGAAGGCATCTGAAGTGTACGCCCTCAATTTTCCAGTCTCACGGTGTCCCCCCTTAACTTGCAGCTTTCCCTCGCTCAAGCCCCAGGTTCTTTTAGTTTGTTATAATCTGGGAGCAGTCATTTGTGCTCTGGTGTCCTGCGCCTGTGGTAGGTTGGGAAGCACAGCAGGACGGTTCCTCACCATGACGCTCACTACTGCACTTTCTTAGATGGAGCCATGGATGGCAGCACTGCTTTGCCGGTCCTGAGGACTCTGTCCTCTGTCGGGTGGGGACTTATATTGAGCGGGGTCCTCTACCTGCATTCTTCTCATCTGTTTCCCCGACACATTAGAGTCTGCAGACGGGGCGCTCTGCTGTTCTACACGACCTGCTCCGTGGTTTTCCGTGCTTTTCCACGTTGGTTGTGTGCCTGGTGGGCGTAAGCAGCCCGCTGTGGCTTCTTTCTGCTGCTTTTTCATTCTCCCTCCCTCCGGCCCGCTCCATCCCCCCTCTTTCTTTCTTTCCATTTTTTTTTTTTGTGTGGATCCATGCACTGTGACTTCTCTGCTAGCTGCCTACGATCACTTCTTTCCTGGCCTGCATGGATCCTTGTTACTGGCATTTGTCACCAGGCTTGTGAGATGTTGATGGTTTCAAAGCTATCTTGGGTCCAGTACTAATCTTCTTCTTTTTCTTTTCTTTCTTTTATTTTATCATTTTTACATTTACTTACATGTGTATACATTGTTTGGGCCACCTCCCCGCTCCTCCCTCCAATCCTGGTTCCAGGCAGAACAGGTTCTGGCCTCTTTTTTTTTTTTTTTAACATCTATTTTATTTTATTTATTTATTTTTTGTTGAAGAGAAAATATAGGAGATAATAAGAAATACATAACATTTCTGCTAGTTTGGGATAAAGATAGCTATACAGAGAGATTCCTAGCATTGCTTCCATGTACTTGTGTATTGCAACCTGCATTGGTTCATCTCTCCCAGACCACTTCGCTACTTGGTCACTTTCCCATAGTGACCTCTGCCAGTTAAAGATTGCTTTATTCATTCATCTACAGTGAGCATATCAACCACATTCAAGTTTTAGGTTTCCTTCCGGGCTGGAGATGTAGCTTAGTGGTAAAGTGCTCACCTAGGTTTCCTTCCCTTTCCCCATTCCTCCCATGTACATTCTCCCCTTAGTGTGTGACCCGTGATCAGTAAGTAATATTACTGCATTTGTTTTGGATCTATAATCCTCATATGAAGGAGAACATGTGATTTTCTCACATGTGAGCCTGGCTAACTTCACTTAAGATGATGTTCTCCAGTTCCATCCATTTACTTGTGAATGACAAAATTTCATTCTTCTTTGTGGCTGAATAAAATTCCATGCTGTATAAATAGCACATTTTCTTAATGCATTCGGTAGTAATGGGGCATCTTGGCTGTTTCTATAGCTTGGCTATTGTAAATAGTGCTGAAATAAACATGGGTGTGCAGGTGCCTATGGAGTAACATGAGTCACATTCCTTTGGGTATATACCTAGGAGTGGGATTGCTGGATCATATGGCAGCTCTGTCTCAATTTTTAAAGAAGCCTCCATGTTGTTTTCCAAAGTGGTTGTACTTGCTTGCTTTCCCACAAGGAGTGTATGAGGGTTCCTTTTTCCCGAATCCTCACCAACACCTGTTGTTGATGTTCCTGATAGTAGCTATTCTAACAAGAGTGAGGTGGAATCTTAGTGTGGATTTGATTTGCATTTCCTTTATGGCTAGGAATGCTGAGCATTTTTTCATGTGTTTTTTGGCCATTTGGACTTCTTCTTTTGAAAACGTTCTGCTTAGTTCTGTTGCCCACTTCTTTATTGGTTCATTAATTTTTTGTGGAGTTTTTTGAGCTCCCTGCATATTCTGGTTATTAGTCCTTTGTCTGATGTATAGCTGGCAAATATTTTCTCCCACTCTGTGGGTGGTCTCTTCAGTTTAGAGACCATTTTATTTGTTGTACAAAAGATTTTAATTTCATGTAGTCTCATTTGTCCATCCTTTCTCTAAGTTGCTGGGCTGCTGGAGCTCTACTAAGGAAGTCCTTGCCTATACCTGTTGCTTCCAGAGTATTCCCTGTTCTTTCCTGTACTAACTGCAAGGTTTCAAGTTTGATATTAAGGTCCTTAATCCACTTTGAGTTGATACTAGTACAGGGAGACAGGCATGGATCTCATTTCAGTTTTCTGCAGGCAGATAACCACTTTTCTTAGCAATAGTTGTTGAAGAGGCTGTCTTTTCTCCATTGTTTGTTCTTGGTGCCTTTGTCGAAAATAAGGTGGGCATAGCTGTGTGGCTTCATATCTGGGTCATCTATTCTGTTCCACTGGTCATCAGTACTATGCCACAAAATGCTGTTTTTATTGCAATTGTTCTGTGGTATAGTTTGAAGTTGGGTATTGTGATACGCCCAGAATTGTTTTTTTTGCTCAGTATTTCCTTGGCTGTTCACGGTCTCTTGTGTTTCCAAAGGAACTTTAGGGTAGGTTTTTCAATCTCTGTAATGAATGTCATTGGGATTTTGATGGGAATTGCATTGAACATGTAGGTTGCTTTTGGGAGTATAGCCATTTTTACTATGTTGATTCTGCCAATCCATGAGCATGGGAGATCTCTCCAACTTCTGTAGTCTTCTTCAGTCACTTTCTTCAGTGGTTTGTAGTTCTCCTTGTAGAGGTCATTCACATCCTTTGTTAAGTTTACTCCTAGGTATTTGATTTTTTTGAGGCTATTGTAAATGGAATCGTTTTCATATATTCTTTCTCAGTTTGTTCATTGTTGGTGTATAGAAAGACTACTGATTTGTGTAAGTTGATTTTGTATCCTGCTACATTGCTGAACGTGTTTATGGTGTCTAGTTTTTGGGTCCTTGAGATAGAGGATAGTGTCATCTGCAAAAAAGAGATACTTTGACTATTTCTTTACCTACTTGTATTCCTTTTATTTCTTCTTCTTGCCTAATTGCTCTGGCTAGGAAATCTAGGACTATGTTGAATAGGAGTGGGGAGAGTGGGCATTCTTGTCTCATTCCTGACTTTAGGGGAAATGGTTTCAGTTTTTCTCCATTATGTGTGATGCTGGATATAAGTTTGTCATATATAACCTTTATAATGTTGAGGTACATTCCTTCTCTTCTTAGCTTTCTAAGAGCTTTTATCATGAAATGGTGTTGAATCTTATGAAAGGCTTTTTCTGCATCTGTTGAGATGATCAAGTGGTTTTTTCTTTGCTTCTATCAATATGCTGTATTACATTTATTGATTTGAATATGTTGTACCACCCCTGCATCCATGGGATAAACTGACTTGATTGTGGTGAATGGTTTTTGTGATATCTTGTTGGATTCAGTGTGACATTATTTTATTGAGGATTTTTGCATCAGTGTTCATTAAGGAGATTTGCCTGTAGTTCTTCTTTTTGGATGTGTTCTTGTCTGTTTTGGGGATGAGTGTAATGTTAGCTTCATAGAATGAGTTAGGCAGTGTTCCTTCCATTTACATTTTGTGGAAAAGTTTAAAGAGGGTTGGTATTAGTTCTTTAAAGGTCTGGTAGAATTCTGCTGAGAATCTGTCAGGTCCTGGACTTTTCTTTTTTAGGAGACTCTTTATTGCTGCTTCAATTTCATTATGTGTTTATAGATCTGTTTAGGTGGTTAATACCGGCCTGGTTCAGTTTTGGATGGTTATAAGTATCTAGGAATTTGTCCATTTCTTCAAGATTTTCGAAGTTATTTGAATATAATTTCTCAAAGTAGTCTCTGATGATTCCCTGATTTCCTTGATGTTTGTTTTTATCTCTCCTTTTTCATTTCTGATTTTATTACTTTGGGTCTTTTTCCCTCCTCATTTTAGTCAGATTTGCAAAGGGCTTGTAAATCTTGTTTATTTTTTTCAAAGAACCAGCTCTTTGTTCCATTGATTCATTGTATGGTGTTTTTGGTCTCTATTTCATCAATTTTGGCCCTTATGTTTATTATTTCTCTCCTTCTTCTTGTTTTGGGTTTTGCTTGTTCTTGTTTTTCTAGGTTTTTGAGATGTAGTATTTGGTCATTTATTTGAGATATTTCTGTACTTTGAATATATGCACTCATGGTGATATACTTTCCTCTTAGGAATGCCTTTGCTGTGTCCTATAGGTTCTGGTAGGTGGTGTTCTCATTTTCATTAAGTTCCAGGAAACTTTTTATTTCTTCTCTTGTTTCTTCTATGACCCAGTGATCATTGGGCAATGTTATTCAGCCCCCAATTATTTATGTATTTTCTGCTATTGTTTTTGTCGTTGGGTTTTAGTTTTAATGCATTGTGATCAGATGGAATGCAGAGAGTTATTTCTATTTTCTTTTACTTGTTGAGCTTGCTTTGTGCCCTAACATATGATCTATTTTGGAGAAAGTTCCATTGGTTGCTGAGAAG